CAGGCTTTGTCATTCTTTGGCATTCCCAATACCATATGAGCAATATGTAAATAGGATCGAGACACGTTTGACAAAGCCCATGAATAACATGAATTTACAAAGTAACTTCTCAGAGTCTGACGAGAGCTGATGAGCTTATAGGGAACGGACTAACGAAACATATCCGCCATTGACTATCATATGTATGCACCAGGGCAGGCAAGCAAACATACTAACCTCACATATTTAGCAACACAATTTGGACGCAAATCGCCAAAATCAGTGTGCATGGATGTTCGTAAATCCGTGAAGAGCTCCGCCTCACGTCTCGGCGGGCCTTAATCCGACACTTCGCGCCGCGTAGATTTATATCTTGTTTTGAGCCCGTTTTTGACACCAAGATAGATGATGGTTGGGCGTAGATTCGTAGACCTTGAGGAAAGTGCTTCATACATGTATTTATGGATTGAGGTCTGAGCTGAGGGAGAGAAATACGCTTTGCCATCGGCCAAGGGTTGTATGTACCCTCAGGCTGGGCGATTTGATTTCCAAATTCCTACGAACCATCCACGCGGGAAAGTTTCGAGTGTTGCGCCATTCATAGGCCTACATATTTTTATGGGCAAAATGTGCAAGCTCTCAAAGTCCATGTTGTTTGCGGGATTTACGTTGATAAATAAGACGGCAATGCAGAACGGCCTTATGGCATTTCCGAACAGCATGCTAGCTAGACTCTGCTCCTCTCTTACTAGCTCAGCTTTTACTTCGCCCCCAGAATCGCCTCGACGAAGCAACAATCAGTCGACTTGAAAGGATACTCGCTATACTCTCTACAGCATGCGCAACATTAAAACTTCGATAAATGCAATTCATTGCGTCTCATAGCCGTGGAATCCGCGAAGCCGGCCAAGACGAATGTTGTCCGGCTAATTTCTGATGACAACTGCATAGCGTTTCTGTGTCCCTAGTACACTACCCTGCCCAGCTTTTTACCTCCGCTAAGCTTTCTGCTCGTCTTTGTGGCATGAGTCACAGCAAGTACTGCATTTTGAATACAAAAGACTGTGTTGGCGATG